GCAAGACACTCAGGTTAAGAAGGGTAAACATCAGAAAAGAGTTAGTAGTTAAAAATATAAAATAGCAGTAGGAAAAAATAGGAAAAAGACGCTTTTATAAAGAGGATAGAACAGGTCAAGCACACAAGAATGAGTTAGAAGAAAAGAAACGAAGATCATTAAAAGAAATTGGGAGTAAATTTTAATGAAGAGAGAAACTGACCCTTTGGTACTGGTGTTGCCCCTGCAGAGACCATAAATTGGCTCTGGAATTACTGACCTCTCTGCCTACTGAAATCAAGTTGGCATCATCTGTAATGAGCTTCTGGTGCCAAATTAAGACTTTGTTTTTTCAGCAAGCCTTCTTATGAAAATGATTTATAGTTCTTTAGCCTCCTTTCAGATGACCAATTTTTGTGTTTTACAATTTCTGTTTCTTTAATGTACTCTGCTTGCCCTTAAGTGTTGTGTTGTTTTGGAATAATTGATAGATATATTCTTAACTGAGTTTATGGTATAGAAATTCATAGCATATGTGATGATATGCTTTGATCTTCTTTGGTATCCTCTCTCTTGTTTTTCCTGGCATGATGTCAACTCTCTTTCACGTGATTTATTTTGTTATTGCTGTATTTTATTTTTGTATGTGTTGTATCTAAAAAAAATAAATGGATCAATAGTAATAAATTGCAGCAAAAAATGAGAGATACTTAATATAGTACAGTTTCCCAAGATATAGATACACGGGGTTCCATTTCCAAAGCTGATTGATCTATGGCACACTGGTTGCTTTTTGCATCTGCTTTTTGACAATAGTTTGATTTTTCTGATGATTTGCATCCCAGCTAAGCGGCAAGTTGTTATTTTATCCTGTTGTGTTGCACAAGCTTAGAGGAATTCGAAGTGGTTCTTATGAAGAGCGCATGTGCTCAGAAAGTTTCTCAGATGTTGGCTGTGCATTTGTTCTCTGGGTTTGTGATTCATGCTTGCAGTTGCATTGTGCATGTGGGAAGCACCAATGTCAGAACAGGATTTTTCAGTGACACATCATTCCCACCCCTAGCAGTACAGTTTTTCTGTTTCTGCTAGAGCAAGAAGCAAAGAAAATACCTGTCTTGGTAAAACATGCACATAACAAGGCAAGCATCTGTAAAGGAGGGGCCTGTATTTCTGGATTTATTCTGGATTTATTTATTATTTATTCTGGATTATTTTCTTGTTAGCTGCTCGGTCACTTGCCAGAGTGGAGCAAGGGTAATTTATTGCAGTGTTTTTAGACACAGAACTGGTCTAAGTCAGGGCCACTTTCCATACATGAAGCCTGTGGCAGCAGTTGCACTCCCATATTATAGGCAGGATCTGTATCCATACATAGGCTTACTTTGTGAGTGGGCCTAAAACAATGGATTTTTCTTTCTGCGTGACAGTTTTGCTCACAGGAGTGAAAACTCCCCTGAATGAAAACTCATAACGTAGGAAGTGACCTTTGGCCATTTTGCACACCGAAACAGGAGGCTGATCTGGATTGTTTGGTTCCATCTTGAAAACACTTGCAGCTTAATAAATGCATGCCAGTCATTCAGTTGGTTCTGAACAGTGGCTCCGTATTTTGCCAAAGTGATTTCAAGAGGTAGACTGAACATCTGTTGTATGTTTAGCATAGAACAAGTGTTTCCAGCTTTCGCTTCCCTGCCTTGCTCTGGGTCAGTTAACTTGAGCGTCTGAAGCTAAGTGACACCTGAAACTAAACTAAAAAAAACCACACACACACAGTGTGTGGGACATTCTTAAATCTTACTCATATGACAAAGTTCTCTTCTTGAGTAGGATACTGGTACAGAACACATAGGCCCTGCATCTCATGTGAAATTCACACACATATTTTTTGCTGGTTGCCCCTTTAAAATGCATATGAGTGGCTCAAAACACATTCATGTGCACTTCACATCTGATGCAAGATGGGTGTGTTTTGCATTCTCTTCCAGCTCCTAAAATTCTGTAAGGTCTGAAGATTGTGCAGGTGTGCAGCCTTCAGTCTGCCAGAGAAATATCCTGTCCTGCATCCTCTGGATCCAGTTTCTTTCAGTTCCACCCCCCCTTCCCTTTAAGTAGTGAGGAGACCTTGCCCTTTCACTGTCAAAAAGATCATAAGGGGAGGGGAAGCTGGGATTTATTATGACAGGAAGAAGGGATTGTCAGTCTTCTTCCTAGCTCCAGGACAGGATGCACCTGTGGTTCCATATGAGCATGGGTAGACAAGGAGCAGAAAGGCATTAGGTACAGGAGGTCAGGCACCAGATTAGGCATATGAGGACCAACAGACCAGGGACAATTGGCATGGTGGTCACTGGTGGACATGGATCAAAGATCAAGAAGTAAGTATTGAGCCAGAGCAAAACAGAAAGGTGAGTTCTAGAGGAGCAATAATAGAGGGGTGGAGAGGGTAGAAGCAGGCACAAGGTCAACAGCAGACAAGGGTCACAGTCTGTGGCAGTCAAGAAGAAGCAAAGCAGGAGAGTCGGCAGAATAGGCATGCTTAAGACCAGTCACGCAAACTGGTGGTCTGACATGGCTGCAAGGTCTTATGGTGTGACCCAGTTGGCTTGCCTGGCTCTTTTCAGGCAGGAGATGGAGCCTAGAGGACACCCTTTTCCTTGTTCTAAACATCCTGGCCTTCTGAAGATCAAGAGCACTTGTGATGTGGGAAGTACTGGTATTGGCTGCTGGAGATCCTAGTTTCAGACCTCTCCCCTTTGGTGCCTTACAGGGAGAAAGGAATCAAGATCTTGCTGCCCCCCATGTCACACACAGTCACCTCTTCACCACCACCACCCCACCGCCAAAAAAACCCCTACCAGCATGAATTATTTTCAGGTCACATAAATCTCTGATGTAATAAATGCCTTAAATTCCAGGCCCAGTGAAGCAAAAGTAATATTCTTACAAAATGTTTAGTTCAGATTATATGTTGTAAAAATCTCTTGTTGCTCTGATTAGATACCACCCAATCCTGATTTATTGGACAAGCCTTTTATTTTATTTTTTCTCTCTTCCTGGCACCCTGATTTGTTGTGGAACATGCATTTCCTTTTCCTGGCTTCATGTGGAAAGTGTGTGACATCATTGCCTGGTGTGAATATGGCTAAGGGAATGCCCTTGCATAGTGCTGAGAAGGTTGGATGACAATGTGGCTGAATGAAGATGGTAGCCTTTTAAAGGCAAACTTATCTTTTAAAGGCAAACTTATCTTCTCTTTAGTAAAGGAAAAATCACAGACTGTTTAGGCTGCTGCAAATCTTCCTTGTGAACAGCTCTCTTTACACGTGAGGTGCAGAAATACATGGAACCTGGCACTTTTAGTTGGATTGATGTTCTTTATAGCAAAAAAAGGGGGGGTATTGCTGTGGTCACGTTTTCCAAGCACTTGTTGTGGAACTCATCCAAGATTATTTTGGCACCCTCTCCAAATGTTTCCTGTAGTCACTAGAGAATGCACCAGATGGGCCACTCAATACAGTTGCATGTGACGGCTGTTTTGGTACAAGTGACATGCAAAGCAGAAATTAGTTATTATGCTGAGTGCAAAGCCTCATTAATTTCTTGTGGCGCACACATTTAATTATACAGTCAGAGAGCAAGATTTATCCCACTGGATTTAGAGATCACAGTCTTAGGTTTTGTACTACTGAGCCTTTCTGTAGCTCAGATACCAACTTGGTTTTTTATCTTTCTTTTTTTCTTTTTTTTTTAAAGCCTCCTAACTTAAAAAGGCACATGACCCTTTTAAGATTGGGCTTTGTGACCCTCCTTTAAATCACAGAAGAAAGTGTCAGACTCTTGATTTAAGCTTAGGCATATATAAACACACATTTAATTTAAAAACATTTGAAATAAATTACCATGCTTAAAGCTGACAATGTACTGATGGTGTGAGCAGTTTGTATAAACACAAGAGCTGTTCTTGGCATAAATCAGGCTGATGAAACCACACAGAAGTACCGTATTTTTTGCTCTATAAGACTCACTTTTTCCCTCCTAAAAGGTAAGGGAAAATGTCTGTGCGTCTTATGGAGCGAATGCAGGCTGCGCAGCTATCCCAGAAGCCAGAACAGCAAGAGGGATTGCTGCTTTCACTGCGCAGCGATCCCTCTTGCTGTTCTGGCTTCTGAGATTCAGAATATTTTTTTTCTTGTTTTCCTCCTCCAAAAACTAGGTGCGTCTTGTGGTCTGGTGCGTCTTATAGAGCGAAAAATACAGTAACTGCCATTATTTCAATAGGAGTTAGAAACCAGATTCATCAGGGCTGCAACCATAAGTGTGTTTAATTAATTTATTTGTTTAAGTATTTAAAGGGGTAATGTAGAACAAAGCCTTGTTCCTCATGTGCACATTATAATTACCGTGAACTACTTCACAAAATCTTTACAGCATTAAACTGGCTAAAATTATAATTTGTAGTACATGTTCTTTATAAGTTGTGAATAGTATATCAGATATTGTTTTGTTATATCTGTCTTATCTACTGAAGGGATCACTATAATGGACTTCTTTAGCCGATCTCAGTTTGTTCATGACGCATCTGATTTGATTCCATAATGCTTACTTTTGTCATGTATAAAGTGCATGTCAGTTTACCAGGATTAACCCTGCAATCTCCAGTTAAAAGGTTCTGGTAATAAGGAAAGCCTGAGACCCTGGAGTGATGCTGCCAGTCAGAGTAGACAGTACTGGGCTATATAGTCCAGTGGTCTAACTCAGTTTAAGGTAGCTTCATATGATGTAGTCTTAGAGCTATTTACACTATTTCTGTAAAAGATACAGCCCATATTTGCAGGTTTCTAGAGGTGATGTGTCTTCCATTTGGAAACCATGTGCTTTTCTAATTCATACTGAATACCATTCATGTTACGTTTGGGGTAATAGCTGATACGTTTTTGGTAAAGTTGCTTTCTTGTAATTAATCATCTACAAAAAGGATTTGCAAAACATGTGACACTCCCCCCCCCTTAATGTCTTTTCAGCGGCTGTGAACTTCCTACGATCTCTGCTAGAACCAGATCCTACAAAGAGGCCAAACATCCAACAAGCCTTAGCGAATCGTTGGCTTAATGAGAATGGAAAAGTTCTGAATAATGTCACATATCCAAACAGGTAAACTGTGCAAGATAATGCTGTTTTACCAACATGATAAAGTTCCACTGAAGTCATTAGGGTTGCTTGAATGAGGAAGGGCTGCTTGAGTGAGCCAGAGGAGGTGTGTGTGTTTGTGTGTGTTTTCAAATGTTATCTCTCACACTCTGATCCTGCAAAATTCAGCATAAGCCCTAATGATGGGTGAATTCCCCTTGGCTCACTTCTGAATTAGTTGGCATTTATGAGCCTGGAGAATTCTCGAGAAAAGCTTGTCTCTATTGTCCAAGAGATCTCTCCTGTTTTGAAATGTTGGTACATGTACTGCAATGATGGCAAGCACATGAGTTTTATTTGCCCCTAAGAACTGTAGTTCCCAGAGCACCAGTCATGACCAAGAATGACTTTGAAATTCTGCCGTTCTACCATTACCACCCTCCCAGAACAAAAACACTTGGGTACAAGAGTATCTTCTATCTGGATGAGGGACAGCAACATAAAACATTTCCAGGAAAAATAAATCAAGAGAATGGACTGTATAGTGATTAAGTGGTTAAGCCATCTGTCATGGATGCTTTAGCTGAGATTCCTGCATTTCAGGGGGTTGGACTAGATGACCCTTGGGTCCCTTCCAACGCTAAGATTCTAAGTTAAAGGCTGAGCATGAGTTATTTTTGCATCAATGTGGTGTGTCTGCAGCTGCATGGAAATTGGGGTTGAGGACTCTCTGGCTCCAATAGTGTTTGGCAGGGTAGCACAGACGGGTATGTTGCTCACCTGCCACCTCATCATGAGCATCACTGCAGGTTCCTGAAACGGGTGCTGCATGGGGAGCTCAGAGCACTGCAGGTGTGTTGGCAGGTGCATCAGACTGGCTCTGCCATCCAGGCTCCCTTCCCCCTCCTCCTTTTGCTCTCAGGAACCAGCAGTGATGGGAAGGCAGGTGAGCAACACCTTGCACCACCCCACTGCCTGCTACTGCCTGGCTTTCAATTCTCGCCCCTTATTTGCTTTACTATGCCAGCTCTCACTTTTGATTCTTCTCGGTCTCTGATATTTCCTCAGCAGCAGGGAGCAAGATTAGTATTCTGCAGTGGTTTTAGGGTTGCTAGGACCAATTCCTGGATCAGCCCCAGATCTCTGGTGAAACCTTGCGCAAAGTCGCGTTGCTTCCCCAGTTCCTTTGTCCCAGCCCTGTAGTGCGGAGGATTATATTTCCCAACCTCAAAAAGGGGTTTGTGAGGATAAAAACCTTTAATCATTGTGAGGTGCTAGTTACTATGGTAATGAGGGTTATGCAACACATGGATGGATATTAATACAGCAGAGGAGGCTGGTACCTTTCTAAGCATCTACTGCAGATTTTATGTGATGGATATAAGCCTTATTGTGCCACCCAAGAAATTCATGGGCTGGCTGCTTCTAACCAACAAAAGTTTGCAAAGTGTGCAAACTGCAAGAGAGAAATGGCTGCTTTAGTAGGTGCGTCAGAGGATGAAATAAATCATTGTTGAAACATTGTTGTTCCACTGCCTGTTCTCTGGGGCACTTTAGATGTTATGAATTTTCTACACAGTATATCTCTTGCAGATAGGAATTACTTAAAATACTTAATAGAGGACAGGGAACCAGAGATTACCTTAAAAGTGGCTAAATTCTGTGCTGCTGCTATAAAATTAAGGAGACAAGCTTTGAGAGAATCAAATGCCCAATGACTTAATACGTTTTAAGGTTTTTGACTTATATATTTTACCTGTTTTATATCTGAATTATTTATTGTCTATTATCATAAAGCTTAATTTTATCTATTTATGTCTGTATACTCTCTGTTGTTGTATATGTTACACTCTGGTCAGTGACTGAAATACATGGATTCATTCATTCTTGTAGATAGGAAGAAAAAGCGAATAGTGTAAGTAGATCATCACTCATGATGATCACGCATAAATCTATTTCATTGCGTAAACACGAATGCAGTCAGAATACGTACCAATCAAATGTGTTGGCTCAGCTTGGTTTTCAAGCATTTTCCAATGTGGAACTGTTTTCCATGTAAGAAAATTGTATATTTTTCAAGCAGTCCTTGGCCAGGTTGTGTACGTTTGTTTTTGTGTGTTATGTTGAATGGCAGGCAAAATGTGTGAAGCAGTTGAGTCATTGAACTAACGTTATAGGGCCCTATTGATCATTTTAACAGCACAATCCAGTCCATGTCTACTGAAAAATAAGCACCTCTGAATTCAGTGGGGCTTACTCCCAGCAGAGGCAGGAGCTTACTTCAGTGGGGCTTACTCCCAGCAGCTGCTCTGGCATGCTGTGCACCTGGGGGCAGGGGGTGATGTCACCCCCCCCTCAGGGATGACACCCAGGGCGGACCGTATCCCCCTGCCTCCACCAGTGACTCCCAGGCAAGTGTGTTTAGGATTGCAGGCTGAAGTTCCCTCTGGTCCATTGTCTTTGTCTCCAACAGCGGCCAGCCAAATGCTTCTAGGTATCTCCAAACATTGATGTTTGACCTTTAGCAACTGGTAACCAGAGGTCCTCTGCCATTGTACGAGGGTGTTCCATTTAGTAATTACTGATATTTCATGAATTGGTCTAATTGCCTTTTATAGTTCCATGTAAACCACTGTCTGCCAACCTAGCAGTTTGAAAGCACCCCCGGGTACAAGTAGATAAATAGGGACCGCTTACCAGCGGGAAGGTAAACGGCGTTCCGTGTGCTGCGCTGGCTCGCCAGATGCAGCTTTGTCACACTGGCCACGTGACCTGGAAGTGTCTGCGGACAGCGCTGGCCCCCGGCCTCTTGAGTGAGATGGGCGCACAACCCCAGAGTCTATCAAGACTGGCCTGTACGGGCAGGGGTACCTTTACCTTTTTAAACCACTGTCTATCACCACGTTTCGTGGTGCCAATGGGAACCTTCTTCTCTTTGCATATGTCAGCTTTGGAGAAGCCATCTTCATCGGGGCTGGAGCAGGGGAAGAAGGAAAGGATTAAACCCCACTCCATCTGCTGTGATCCTTATAATTACCAGCTTCCACAGTGGGTGCTATTTGCATTTAAACAAAACAAACAAACACCCACATGCGTGTTAAATGCAAAGGAACATTTAACATCACTTTGAATTTGACCCAAAGTGATAACAAATCAAATATAGGTTCCCAGGGAGGCTGTCGTTCTTGATGTGCTATTTCTAGGGCACTAAACATTATATATAGTGCTTACGCTTACTGTTTAGCACCTTTATTGGTCTTGCAGGTATTCTGAAGCAATGAGAAGGCACAGCAGACAAATATTACGGGAAGATGCAAGCTACAGAAACATTTCCCCTCAAAATAGTTACATATAAATATTTATTTATTTGTGTTGTAACTAGCTAATGTTTTTTAAAAAACATTTCCAGCGCTATTTTATACGCACATTATTTTAACAAAGTGTATGCAGAATTTAAAAGTAACCAAAAGTATTTTGTCTCAACAACTTTGTTATCATCAGTTTGGTTAAAACAGTATATAGTTCCTGTTACATGGTGGCCATTAAGGTTTATATAGCATGTCTGTTGCCACCTCTCCCTGGTGACGCTCTCCCTGGAAGATGGAGGGGGGGGGAATAGGAAAATAACCCCTTCCCTTTTCTCTTCATGTAGAATCCACATAGAAGACATCAGCCAGAGTGTGCTGCTTTACATGACTGAAAAGCTTGGCTATAAGAACAGTGATGTGATCAATACCGTCCTCTCCAACCGGGCTTGCCACACTTTGGCCATCTACATCCTGCTTAATAAGAAGCTGGAACGCTATTTGGCAGGCCTTAGAGTAAGTTTGGTTGATCCGATTTATATCCTATGCCCTTTTAAAATGTGGGGTTTTTTGTGTGTTGAGGGGCTATTGGGTTGTTTTTATTTTTATTAAGTATTTTATGGTTTTATATCGTGATTTTATTCTGTGAACTGCCCTGAAACCCCTGGGTATAGGGCAATATATAAAATAATAATAGTAATAATAGTAGTAGTAGTAATAATAATAATAATAATAATAATGCTTGAATGGCCATTCCCCAAGACTTGAACTCAGCTGCTGAGTTCTGAAGGCAGTGCAGTCAAAATAGGGCTACTGAAAAACAAGAGGGAGCTTACCAGCTTATTCTGGGGAACAACAAGATTTGCAAAAGTAGATTTTAAATAACTTAAGGGGACCCTTTCCACAAAAAAGAAGAAAACCCCAATGGCCACAGAATACAGAGTGTCTGTTGTGGGGTGCAGGGAGGACCAGATGACTGTGGGGGGGGTATAGAATGGAGTACCCAGAATGAAGGCCAGCGCACATGTGCAGGAGCAATGATAACAGGCTGCAGTCCTCGTTTCTAGTGAGGGCTAAACTGGAAGATAGATACTTGACTGATGATGTTTCATCACATGGACTTTTACAAGGAAGTTAATTCAATCAGAAGAAAATCTGCATGATTAACTATTTAATGATGTATTAAAAGTTAGGAGGAATCGTGTTTATATTTTTCTTTAAGGAGACAACACACTTTGCATTAATTCTGCAACAGAGAAGAGTTTAATTTTATAACCTTGGAGAAAGAGCTCACTCCAAGCAGGTTCTCGTAGCATTATAGTGTCTTTATTATGATAGCAAAGGCATAGCTCTATTTTAAAACTGTCCTTAAAATGCAGGAAGTAAGAGCAAGGAGTAAAACGATGTGCTCTGTGAGTTGGGAACAAGGCAAAGCAACCTATTGATTTTAGTTTATTTGTTATTTTTAAAAGTGGCACTGGAAAGTAAAAGCCTATAGAGCATTTCTTGACCTTTGTGTGCCCTTTTAGCTCACAGCACAAGCCACTTAAACAAAACAGTTCTCGCCTATGACCTCATGCAATAAATCTTTATTACTTGTTTTCCTTCAGGACATATATCTGTTCCATTCTTTGCATTCACTTCCTGCATAGAATTCCCATGGACATCAGGGGGAAGTTTCATGGTGGTGGGACAGAGATTTTATGATCCGCCACTGACTGTTGCTTTGACAATGCATATACAACAAAAGTATGAATTTTCCCCTAATATAGGACTGTTTTGCTAAGTTAGGTAAATTGCATACACACTATGCCTTTAAAGCATGTTCGAAGCACATTTGTGCCCTTCTTTTTTAAAAAATAAAGAAATTATTGATTTTCCAGAAATTTTTAAAACAAACAAACAAACATACATAAATCATAACCTTATTTAAACCAATCTTACTGACATTGTTAAATGACTTCCTCGTATCCCCCTGGTTGAATTTCAGTGTATATCATTTTAACGGTTTTCCAAAACCAATATTCTCATAAAATTAACTTAATCACTTAACATCTTTCTTTCATTCCCATTCGGCATTTCAACGTATTAATTTATCACATTGCATATTTAGATCCTAAGCCTGTCTGGTATTTGCAAGCTTTTCCAATTAATTTAACTTAATATATTTAACTAAATAGTCTTTAAATTTCATCCATTCCTCCTGGTAATCCCCCTCCTTCTGGTCGCGGACTCTTCCAATCAGGTCGGCTAGCTCCGAAAAATCCATCATCTTCATCTGCCAATCTTCCACAGTTTGTTACCTTCAAAGAATTCTGGGCGCTGTAGTTTACCTCTCTCAGTTGAAATTCAAAGTAACCCATAGCAAACTACAGAACCCAGAATTCTTTGAGGGGGAAATGCCCTTTGAATGTGCTTTAAAGGCATAGTGTGTATGCAGCCTTAGTTACAAGTGGGGTCTCCAGTGTAAGAGGTGAGGAGGCAGAGCCAGTCTCTCGGCAGCAGCAGCAGTAGCATTGCCATTTACCAGGGCACAGCAGCAGCAAGGTCAGTCAGCACAGGCTCACCGACAAAGCCGGTCCCGGCACTCTTGCCAGTTTGCCACACTGCCTTGACTTCACTTGCTGCTCCTGCAACATCCAGGTAAGTGGCAATGATGCCCCTGCTGTCAGCCAGGTAGCCATGTCCTCCAAGAGATTATAAGCTATAAAGGGCAGAAACAAGGCATCCCCCCTCCACTCCTGTTTTTCTATTCTCGACACTCCTGGGGGCAGTGGGGGTGGTTAAAAGATTTTTAAAACAGTTGTCATTTGTATTTCTGCAAATGTCAGGGTTTCACGGAGCCTTCTGATACCTCCCTCTTATTTCTCAGTGGCCACGTCATTTTGGCACTCAGCACCTGAGTTTACTCTTAGAGGTAGCAATAACTGTCATTTTGGGGCCGTCCCATATGTTGGAAACAAAAACCTTAATTCATCATAAGAGTATTAGTTGATCAATCAGTTAAAAAAACTGATAGAAGTTTGAATTTAAGCGCAAAAGGGAGGGGAAGAATACCTTTTCAAAATTGTACATGCCATTCACAGGTTTTGTCGTACCTGTACTAACAAATTTAACGTGTGTGTGTGTGTGTGTGTGTGTGTAAGACAATTATTTGGAAGCAACTTTTTGGTCAGATTTTTAACTGATATAGCCGTTTAACCTACTGAGGCCAGAATGCTAACCCCAAATGTTGTTGGGGTGCATGTGGTTAGGATGGTGAGTCCTTGTGTCTCCTCTGGCCTCTGCTAACTGAGAAGAAGGCTACTAGCCAGGTAGAAAACTCTGAAACTAGATCCAAAGCCTTAAGGATCCACAAGTGGTCCCCATTCTCAAGCCCCTCAGCTGCGCCAACATGGTGCTGGTACAACAACAATAAACAACAGCAACCCTACACTCCACCCTTCCAGCAGGGCTGCAGATGTTTTGTTGAGTCCATTGCCCTGCACTCCCTGGGCTCCTTGTTAGAATTGCTCTTCACATGTTGTCATCTTATAGGCAAGAGTTGCATGGGTGGGGTATTGATTTTATTTTTGCTAGATTCATTCCTTTTTACATTTTCTCCTCAGAACATCTCAGTTTAAATAATCTTTTTTTCTTCTGCATCGCCATCACACCCAAAGTATCAGAACTAGTTCGTAAAACCAATTTGGTGTACCAGAAGCTGGTTACATTGCTCAAAGTGAAATAGCTATCATCTTAATAACTCGCTGTGATACCAGGTTGCTTTGTGAGCCTGTAGAAAATTGCTCGCCAGCCTTCTGTGACCATGATAGATTTCTATTAGACAGTGAACACCAGCACAATAACTCAGTTACTGTCACCTCAATCTGAAACTCCTAGATTAAAGAAATGGATTGTAGCTGTCACCTGTGACACACTTTGAGAGGACCCAGTCTTTATCCTCTTCCATACGAGGAAGGTTCCATCAATAATGAAGAGCACTTTCCTCTGTTATCTCTGTCTTCTTTGAAAAGTCCAAACTCCCAGCAGTGCTACCTCAGAGCTATATAAAAGGTTATCAGGAAGGAATTGTTAGCCTGTCCTTTTGCGCTACATGATGGTTGACTCTTTTTCTGTTAAAGTACGTAGAGGTGCAATTAATGAGGAAGTTGCTTGTAAGCCCTCTGTCTTTTGGGTGTTTCTTGTTTAAAAGAGAATTTGGACGCCCTAGAGGCTTTCCAGTTCAAACATCAAGGAAACTGGTTGTATTTTTTAAATAATTTAATTCCCATGTTTAGTGCTTGTTTACCAACATCTGATTGGTTTCTGTTTTACATGAAGGTGATTATTTTTGTGAGTAACAAGAATTGTTAAATGCATCCCTGGTTATGATTATATTTGGGATGGAAGCATGTTAAGAAGATGTGTAGCTGACTATTTATTTACAGCAATTTCTGAAGTAAAGTAATTGTGAGATTGAGGCTACAGTCCTATACCCGTTTACCTACCATGGTTATTTGGACTTAACCTGTTACTAGACAATTACAAGATTGTAATTTTGTTAGACTATACTGTCAAATAATAACTGAGGAGGGCAGACTTCAGGCTTGTGGGATCTACTTGATTTCCCCCCACTAATGTCCTGAGGAGGAGGAACCAGGTGCAATATAGTGACTAGGAAAGGACATATTTTCAGAACGCAAAGTAGTATTAACCACATGCTAAGCCCAGGTCAAAACTCCACTCTTGGCTTCTTATGAGTCATTCTTTATTTCAGCAGCCTAATTTAGAATAGGGAGGGAGCCTTTTAGATGCTGATGCTCTTAAGACAACCCAAAACTTGCCTAACTATGCAAATCACCTACCTATCCACCAGTAGATTCCAGTCTGGCCACCCCAATATTTAGAGTGGAAGTAGTGATTGCAATTCTTTTAAACAAGTATTTGAACTAATCTGTGCTCTAATTCTCCCCACAAATACCTTACGATTATTATTTATCCTTCCAGAAGACAGAAGCTCCCGATAATGTGTACATGAACCATTGGTGTCGGATAGAAAAATACAAGTCAAACAAGGACACCTACGAGGTAAACCAGGTTACTGTTATTTGGAACCAGGCAATACTTGGGCATTTCCCTTGACTGTTATTTCAACTTTGGTTCAACAGAGAGTACAAACAAAAAGTCATGCCCAGAGGTCTCTTGAAAGTGCAAGAGAAACTTACCATATGACTCACTGCAAAACATGCCAAGGCAACATGGGATAATCCAGTTTGGCAAATGCTGAATATATCCTCAGGGAAGAGTGGGATATAAATTCAGTAAATAAATAAATAAAGGGAAACAATACTGTCCCCATTTTTAGAAACAAAGTCAATACAAGTCGACAACAGATGCTGTTGATATCTTTTCTTTTCCTTTTTAAAGTAGCAACTGTTAAGCTATTGCTAATGCTGCACCACAGCTTGTTATTTTCATTTAGAGCGGTTTCAGCATTTCCCAAAACAGATTCTGTTTAAGGAATAATTCAATGGCAGAGAACACTTTGCCCAACATTTGCTGTAATGCCATGTTCCCTAATTGCCCCCTACTTACCTATGTGGAACCATTGTATTTGATGCCATGTATTTATCACAAGAGCCATAATCCAGCTCTTTGGCTCCAGCTCAGAGAGAGTGTGCTGATCATACAGGGCAATTGTATGGAGGTGCAAAGCTGATGTAAGGATACACAGTTGGTGGTGCACACATCCCACGGGATGGAGTCTATATCAGGCAACAGGTTATTTTGAATACTAAACATTTGGACAATATAGCAGGGCACCAGAAAATTTTAATTCATGAATCTAATTATTAGCCGCCCTTTCATTTTTGCTTTGTTTGGGAATTGCCCCTCTATTGTTTCATAGAAGTAATACAATAAAGAGACCTTAAAAACAATGAACCGTCATAGCTCATTGAAAAACAAAATAGATATTCTGCTTTAGAAGTCAACCTCCAATTCGGTGTTGTTTAGCAACCAGGTTAGGACATAGCTTCTCTCTGGCAACAGTCCAGAAATGCAGCAACTTTCTTCCTTCTCTGTTCTTGAAGGAGAGCAGTTTAGTTAGCTCATCCTCCTTCTGCTTCTGTAACACTGATGTGAACATTCACAGCTGTAATTTAACTTGCAGCACTTGCAAAAAAAAAGAATACTTTTCAAAGATTGCTGTTAAAACCATAGTATTGTGATGTGCTTTTATTAAATTGATTGGGTCAGTAAATATTCTTGCTTCACATTTTTTCAAAATCATTTGCTGGCGTGTGTGTGTGTGTGTTTTTGTATGTAGTCATATATGTACATCTATATATAGACACAACAGATACATACAGAGATACATACATACAGAAATATGTGTGCCCATGCACATACACCCCAGCCCAAATGGATAGAATCAAAAACTAATAGAAAGTGTGCGACTCCTAAGATATTTGATCATATAAAGATTTAATAATTATGCCGGGTGTTCTTCAGCTACTAAAACATCCTTTTCAGCCGAGCTTGCAGCCAAGGACATCCACTTGCAAAGAGATATTCTGAACGTAAGAGATACATGAAAGTGCATCAGTGTTACTATGGAGATGCAGCCAGACATCTCCTAGGGTCCTCCTGCACTTTGCAGAAAATTTTTTCGCATCATTTTAATAATGGGAAAAACAAATGCAAAAGAAGGTTCTTCTGTCCACAATCCAAAGTGCAAGTGGCTTTGGTGAGACATCTCTGTGTCACCATCTGAGTGATGGGAATCATAGTGACCAATATCCAATACTTGTCATGAGGATGGATTGGATAAAAATTATAAAGCATACTTTACATTGAAAGTGCTACATAAAATATCATACCAACTGTTATTAATTCTAGGTAATTCTTTGTAATGCTGTCATAGCTTCTAGTCCTACAGCTTGCTGAACTTTAGTTAGCATCCTTCCCTGTGCATTCAGAGCTAGACACAGCAGATTCACATAAGCTGATAACATGCCAGTTGCTACCAAGGCTGTTGATGGATGCTCCTTATTTTCATCTCAGAGCATAAAAAACCTGGGGATCCTCTTCTGTAAATCTGGGTGTCAGGGTAGAGCAGATTGTAACCTTGGTGTTCTGGAATCCTTCGATTTTCAATAGCAGGTGGGGGGGTCACATAGTTTTCACTTCTTCTTTTTTTATAAATCATATTTATTAAAATTTTCAGAAGACAGAAAGTAAAGATAAGACAGAAACAGAATGCATTTAAAACCTTATTTTCATTATCCACTTTCTGGGACTCCCCCCCTCCCCCATCCCTGCCATATTCCCCTTTCATATCGTTAGCTCAACAAGCTCTCCCTCCTAATTTAAACTTAGTTTGTTTAGCCCAATATTCAAATTTAAGCTGATACAGTCCTCATCATTACCCTTGATAAGAAGCAAAAATTCTCTCCCCAAGGTCCCCCCCACTTTCCTTCCACGAATTCCCTTTTTTTTAATAAAAACACCCAACAAAATATATAAAGAAAAACAATATAAAGATATAAAAAGATAAAAAGTATATAGAAAAAAGAACTCAAAAAATAGTTGCAAGCCTTTGGATTCTAGTTCTCCCCCCCCCCTTCCCCGGTTTGGGTTCCCCCTGTCCACCAATCTATGTTGTCTGCCTGGAATTCTTAAATCCATAAATCAGATTTTCCCCCAGTCCCTTGCCAGTTTTTTTTTTAAGTTTAAAGTTATTTTTACAGTATTTAACTTCAAATCTCCAATCTTTGGTCTTTAAGGCTCCCCCCATTGTTCTTTCCATGTTGTAGTCCAGTTTCATCTTGTTCCGCTGCTAAATCGTTCTAATTCAGAGATTTAGTAACTCTACAGGGGATTTTGTTATTCAGGAACAAAAACTTGCGTTCAGTCCCTTCCTTTCTTCAATAGAGAATTCTATTGTCTCCTTTAATGTAAACACCCCTGTAGACATAATACTGTTTCAGTTTTGCAGCTTTCCCAGAAGATAACCAGTCCTGTAAAGTTCCGAAGGTATTTTTCCACTTACGACCATCTTTGTAATGTCCCGAAACTCCTCTAGGGGGATTGTTATAACTTTGTTTCCTCTAGTCCAAAAGTCTAGTTGTTGTTCCATATTTTCGCCATTTTGTATCCAAATCTTAGCAAATTGTAGCAAATTTGACCAGCAAAGTCCTCAAAACAGAGTCCTCTTTAAATTTTTCCAGCTTTGACAGCTACTTTGACAGCTGTCAAAGTCTCCGTCTCTTTTCACCAGGCTCTCTCTCCAATTGCCCCGGTTCCCGGTTCCCGGGGGGGGGTTACGTTCTCCTTCTCCCTCCACTCTTCTCCTCCAGCACAGTTTCTTGTAGTTTCCCATCGTGAAATTCTTGATTTTTATCAAAAATACAGTTCTTTTGTGACCTTGGTTGCCCGATCCTTGTTTTAGAATGTTTACAGTAGGGAGGGGGACTGACTTCCTTTTTGGATCCCCCCCGCTCGTACCAAATCCGAAAAAAATTCCTTTTTTTCTCCTTTTAAACCCGGTTTTCCAAATTACTCACGGGTTGTTGTTAAAAGTCCGAATTCTCAATGGAAGAAGTCAGCGCTCTCCGCCGGATGGCATGCGGCTTCGCTCGGCAGGGCTAGCAGAGGACTCAAAGCACCGCGCCTCTCCCCGGCACCCGATCCGTAGCCTTTAAAAAGGCTCCTTCACGAGTCGGGAGGGCGCTAACGGTGCCAGCCGAGTCTCCATGTCCACGGCCTCCGTGGCCGTGGGTTTTAAGGGTCCCCGCGTCGCCGGCGCGGTAAGACCCAGCCCCTGCCGAGCAGGCTCCCTCCGGAGCTCGGAGGGAGTCCGCCATTCGGCGATGGCGCCAACCCGGAAGTCCCATAGTTTTCACTTCTTGGCCAGTCATTTACGATGATTAGCTTGATGCACCATCAATTTGTGTTCATCCCTGTTGGTGGTGGGTGGTACAGCCCAAGACCTGAGGTACTGTAAGTCCTTCTGCTCCACCCAGCTAAAGCTGCTCCTACTTTCACATCCTAGTTCTATTACTGGTATGATATGAAAACTCCATGTACAGACACATGAATTGCGTTTTGGGAGAAAGAAGATATAAGAAAGTCACATGGAGGCAAATTACTAGAACTGCACTACTGGCAGGAAGGAGAGGGATCCAAAGGGGACACAAGGTTGCTAGGCCCAAAACAGGGCTGGGGCGCCTTTTCCAGCCTGATGAACTTGCTTCCATTCACTTAATGCTGCCTTTTCAAACTTGGAATGCTGTTAAGAAGCAGTGTTTCTACTTCACCTGTTTTTGAAGCCTTCTAAAGCAGATTCTAACAAACCAAACCGTTTTTGTTTATGTGCTTTTAAATTTGAAGGACAAAAAGGCCAAGGAACAAGAAACGAAGGAAGAGCCTCTTCACCCACTTCTGAAGAAATCTGAGAAAAATTCCCCCACCTACAAAGAACCTCCTACCTGCCTTCTGACACAGATACAGACTACAAAAGCTCTGCTGAATGATCACAAAGCTACCCAGGGTGGTGCACCAGAGAAAGGTAAGTGGAGCCATCTTTCCAGCTCTTGATGTGATCTAGACTTGCTTTGTAAGTTGCAGATCAGAGAAAATTAGGGCATATCACAGACTTTCACTGCCATCCTGTACATATCTGCTCAGAAGCTGGCCCTGCTGTGTTCAGGAATTACTCCCAGGTCAGTGCATATAGGCTTGCAGCATTTTAGTGTGACTCAATTCATCTTTACTCGGGTATATGTCCCACTGTATTCAGTGGGATTACACCCTGCTAAGGATGCATAGGATAACAGCCATCAACTTGTTTAACACATGCTATCTCTCCCTAGGGAATCCTAATTGTGGCAGGGAGATAGAATATTTGAATTCTGGGACTTGTAATCTGATGAGGGTGATGATATTTTCTCAGGACTCTTACCAGGCTATAATTCCCTGGGGAAGCCATGACAGGAGACCTGTCATGTAAACTGTTCCACAAGAGGCATGGGATCGCATTTAAGTTTGGTCTTGCTCCACACTCATATTCTTTTTCTGCCATTTGATTTTATAATTCATTTTAGTGCTGTAGGCCATTCACAAACATAACAAAGAATGGTTTTAGCAGAGGTCCATTCCATATTTTACATTTTTTGCACGTACACTTACTATTGTTTACATGTAAATATAAAACTGTACATTATAAACTCAGAAAGCATGTATTCGTAACCAGGTGTATTGCACAGATATACATATCAATGAGTCACATTTAGCCACATCGTGCATGGGCAGTTTTAAATATACATTCACTGCTGCATACGTTGTGAAATAGCAGTTGACTTATAGCACTCAACATCAAGATGCATCCCAGAAAGACAAATGTGTTTTGGGACAATTGCATGTTCTGAAATGTTCTGTTTCCTGACTTCCAGTATGTTTGAATCATCACTGGCTTTTCAGATAAGATTCCTTCCTCTATTCAAACTTCTTAGTGCACAGTTATCTTTCTTTCTGTCCCGGATGATGGTTTAGGCTTGATTAGCTTGGGAAGGGACATAACCACAGATTCCCTGGGGTGGGGGGAGAGAGAAGAGGGTTGACAGCCTTGACAGAACAGAGAAATGAGAATAATAGAAAGGTTAGCTTTCTGATAGGGCAGACAGGCAAAGTGGAGAAGGAATAAGCAGGATAACACACCTTAAGGAAAACACTTTTTGGATTAAACTTTTATTAACTGTATTGTTCTGGAGGTATGTTTATGTTTAGGATTTGAATTTCACCCAGGCGGTTTCTCACTTGATGACTTGTCGGGGGCGGGGAGGATCCATGAAAGGTTTTTCTTGACTCTTTTAAAAAATTGTTTTGTAGATTCTCCTGGTGGCTTGAGCCCCTTCCATGAATCAGCTACAGCCAAGACAGGCTGCGTCACCTCCTATTCTCTGGAATACCTTGAAATCCAGCAACCTGTTCCAAGGACCCCAAGGCTCACCAAGCGGCAAGATTCGCCTCAGCAAGAGCCCTCAAGCCCTGGCAGCCAGAATTTGGATTCTCCTTTAATTCTGAACATTGTGCATTCTTTTGAAACCGGCGACAGAGAGGACCAAATAGACCAAGTTTCTCCCACGCATCAGTATCGAATGCTAAGCTCGCCAGTCAATTTTGGTCGGAGAAGTTCCAGTGAAAGGACATTGTCTCCGCTCTTCCAGCCAGGGGGAACTTCTCCCAGTCCTACTAAAAGTCCAGTTCATCCTACTCAACTGTCCTTCACATATGACGAAAAGAGCAGTTCTTTTAGAGAGGAAGCTGTGTCTCCAACCCAGCTAAATAATGTCTCTAATCCTCTGGGGAGTCCTAACTGTGTGAAAAGCAGAGGTCGATTCCCCATGATGGGTATTGGACAGATGATGCGGAAAAGGAATCAGTCAGTAGGGTCACCAACAGAGAAGACGCTGGAAGCAAGAATGCCTCAGCTGCAGCAAATGAGCCCAACACAAATTTCATTCAATATAATGGACCCTATAAATGGCCAGTGCTGAGGTGACTTTTCTGAAAATCTAAATTTGTGTAGTGCCGTTTTCTGGGACTTTCCCATAGAAGTAGTGAAATGTTTTTTTCTGTGTATTTTGTTATCACATCCAATAAGGAAATCACAAGGCCACATATTTCAGTGGCCTAGGACTAGTGTGATTGGTGGGAAAGGACAAATATTTCAAGTGATGAAATTACTCACTTTTGAAGATCTGTGTAATCTTCCCAAGCAGATACTTTTTGGCTGTGTTCTAATATTGCACATAAGTTTATGTCAACAACAGACCACTGGACCTAACGACTTGCTTGGACGGTGAAAGAAGAATTTGTTGAATTGCCCTCTGGTTTGTAAAGCTGTGGTTGATGTACTTGTCAGGCAATAGTTCTCTGTTTCACAGGCATAAGCACCATTCGTATTACTCAAAAACAGGAAAACTTAAGTTTTTTCGTATTTCTGAAGCAAATATGTCTTAAGTCATGTACAGATGAAGAAGAAACAGACCTGAAAGGACTTGGCATAAAAGCACAAAACCAGAGCAAGATGCTAATAACTGAAGCAGTTTTCACTGTCTAATAATTCCAAAACACCTAAAATCATTCTATATTTTTCCTAAAGGAAATGTTCATTTGTTAAGAGATGCTACTATAAAGAGACATGATCATCTCAGAACTAGTTTGACTGTAAGGAAATCTTTGTTCACATTTTCCTCCTCATCATGAGACAATAGCCCATATTTCTAAATGCTATGCTTTAAAAAAACAAACACCCGGTCATCTGTATAGCTATGCCATTTCTGTGAAACTGCCTTTAGAAAAATTGTATACTTTCAGTTTTAGCAAAACAGCATTGGACATACTTGAAAGTGTTGCTGAGAAACTCTGCACTGCATTCAGAAGAGTTATCAAAGGACACATCTGCTAGCTCCAGTGCCATTTGCAAATGGCAGGAATGGTAATGCAGTTGTCATCAAAAATTTAGTAGTGCTACGAAGTGTGATTAACTTTCGTAAAAGGCAAACATGTTCTGTACTCTGCAGCTCTTTTTATTTCACAGTAAAGAAAATGTCTGAATAAGAAAATAGGGGTTTGTGCAAATAATTTGCTATTAATTTACAGGGTTTTAACCAAAGACTATTCTATGGTTTACCTGTTCCCTGCTAGTACATGTTATGTATACAGGATTGCTGATAGTTGTTAACATTAGACTAGCACGGTGGCAGATTGTCACTAATGGTTTATGTGCTTCCCCTCTTCTTTAGCATACACAGTATCTAGATGTTAATGCCTTTATAAAAGACAAATCAGAATAAGTGCTTTGGGTGGGGGGAATTATTGAGAGATTGTTTTTAAAGGTATGTTTCTGAGTCGTTTTGATGCCTTCTTTAAGAAACCCTGAGATCAGATAATCAGGTTTTTCCCACTGAGATTCTGTTGATACACATAAAATCTCAGCTCAGCACCAAATATTTCTTTAAAAGTTAGGATTGAAGAACAGCAGTGGACAGGATGTCAGGAGCACTAGCAGTTCTTTGGCTGCAGCCATCTTGAAATTGGATCCACCTGCTTGTGCATGAGTACATCCAAAGTAGAAGCACCCATTGGTTGTAACGCCATCTTAGGAATAGGTATATGCATGAGAACAGTTGTTTCTGCTTCAAAGGTAGTGGTACCTTAATCCAGTAACAGTGCCACTGACTACCTTGCAGTTTAAAGTCCAGATCACTGAATTTTCACAAGTGCCATGTTATATCCAACTCTGCAAACTGACCGATTCACATGTAATGCTAAGCAAAACCATCGTTTAGCACAAACAAGAGAAGACTGTGCCTGCTTTTAAGCTCATGCATAGCCTGAAGTTGTGCAAGTTTTAATACATTGCTCTTTGTGAAAACTAGGCCCAAGGAGAAGTATGGGAGCAGGCCAGGCTGAAACAATGTGCAGTGTGCTTGTGTCAAATGAACATCCACATTGGCATAGGCCTGAATGGCTGAAAATATTTCAGATTCCTCACCATGAAAGAACAGTATCCTACTGTGTGCCAGAAAAAAAATTGTAAGCACATACCATGTGCGGGCATGTTCATGTGCAGCTGGTCTAGGGGGAAAAAACGGGGAGAAATGTCCATATTCTTAGCCAGCACCACCCAATTTCAGCTGCCTGAGATTGTTCTAGCCCTTTTGAACTTGACTTCACACAATTAAGGGTTTTTCAGACTCCAGAGATGAATTTTGAAAGGTCATGTGTTCCAGAAACTACTACATTATGAACCTCTACTATCCCTGCCACTGGATGGTTTAATTTACATTTTTATCCACATAGCCCCCTTTTAGACAAAGCAAGCTGCATTGTAAATTTAATCAAGTTTACAACACTGCTCACTGGTTAAATAATGTAAACAAAAAATACCTTGTTGAAATGGGATTGTGGCATGTTTTGTGTGTGCTTCAACTATGCTTTCTGAAAAACCTCTCAGTATTTCAAGTAGTGTCTTCAGAATAACCCCAAATATTCTGATAAGGACCCATACACCACTGATGTTTGTGAAGTTATAAAATATAATTGGTGGCATTTCCCCATAGAACACAATATTAAGGCACTAATAATCAGCATACCATTCTGTGCATGCTTCAGACTTCTGTACCTGAATGTCCTGCAAATACTAACTTGAACTATCAACTCAGGTTTATTTGGAACCCAATGAAACGTTGGGGGAAGCAAGAGAGAGCTGTATTTTTTGTGAACAAATGGTAAATACATGTAATAGCAGAATGAAATAACATTGTTGCTGAATCTGTTTTTATTCTGAAATATGAGTATTACGCTAGTAAGTATAACTGCGTATGCAGCGTATCCTACAAGCTGCTTCCTAAGGACGGATTCACACTTGCTAACAGCCCACATGCAAATGCACTTTGAGTGGGGACACGGTTGGGATTCATAGTACAACTGCACTCAGTTTGGCTGGTGCCATTTGTGTGAACTGTACTGTTCTGTACAAATTTACAATCCATTTTGTGATTACTGCAATTTGCATGACACATTTCCCAAGTTGCAGTAACACAGCCCACCGTCTTCAGTCCACAACCAAGCCTGAAGCAAAATCACTATTATAATAGTTAACAGTTCCACATAAAGAACTGCTCCTTCACCCAAACTCTTGCCCAATGAGCTGTCATCACGGGTGTCTCCAGTCCTTCCTTCTGCTCCATACAAAGGGCACTTTGGGCCAGTTTGCGGTGGCACTCTGCAGTGTGTGTAGCCACATGGCACTGCAATCACATCAAGGCAAATCCTTGTGGCAAGTCATCTGTGTAAAGAAGTGTCTCTGTGGTTCAGTTTAGCTTATGCTGTTCCCAGTTGGAGGGGATTTGAGTTTGCTAAAATGACTGTGCCATTTGGCAAGCCAATTCACACAAGCAGCTTGTATAGCCACCCTTCCACTGCTGCAATTCAAATAGCCAGGCAGATACATTAATTAGACCCTAAGGCCCTAAGTAGGAGGTAAAGTAAAACCTGCTTGTGATAATTAATTCCCTAGCACAGGGAGGAACATTCTAAATGCTAGAAAAATCACTGGTGGCCGGTCCCGAAGCTCAAGTCTTGTGCTGCAGACCTTTTGTCACAGTTCTTGATGGATTGACTTAGCACCTTCCAGTTTTGCTTTATGGTTCAGAAAGAAACACCCATTTTTTTTTCAATTAAAAAATCTGTCCCTATTCAGTACAATGGAAAAGCAGTTCTGCACAAAAGGGCTGTTTTACACACACACACACACACACACACACACACAGCATGTCCCATCATCAACAAGCAGTGGTAATAAGCACACTTCTTTCCTTGCAGCTATTACAAACAGAATGGTTGGTTATGGTCGGCAACAAGCAAGTGGAGGGGAGGGTGATTAACAGCATCCAGCAGAACATCACACTTAAAAAAAGAAAAAAGAAAAACCTACCCACACAAGGTGCTTCACTGCATCTACATTCAGATAACGTTACATTTTATGTTGGAGGTCCCCCCTGCCAATTACTGCATTATCCATGTATCAGGAAAAAACTGAATTAAACGGAGGGAGTGTAGGCTGCCACTAAGATGAGGACATTGTGTGGGCGACTCGGAAAGCATGCACACGTAGGATGCATAAAATCTACCTTAAATTGCCATCTGTACATACCTGTTACCTCCTTCCTCCCCTCTTCCTTTCAAAGCTAGGTTCTGAGCTGGGGAGAAGAGGTTGAAAAACTCCAAAACAGTTGTCTGCTTTCTGTCACTGACATACCCTGAGCACGACAGCTCATAGTGTGGCATAGAGACATAAGAAAGCAGCTTTTAAAGATAAAGATGAGCAGCCATCTTTTTGATCTCAATGAGACAGCTCATTGAGTAAGTGTATTTTGAGGCATGCAGGCCTAGGGAATGTGGGATTTCTTGCATCTCTAAACTTACTCCTCTATCTGAAAGTGAGTGCTTGCTTTTCTCCTGTGGACACTGTTCATTGTTGCTCTTACTGTCACTCTAATTCTGGAACATAACAGAAGAGCTACTGAGCAATGCCATTTAAATTTTCCAGTGTCCCAAAGCAATGCATTGTGGGAAATTAGAATGGAATGTGGGTTACAGGGATGAAGCATTAAACTAAAAATCCTGATCTTCAAATCTGATTATCAGACATGCTTTCTTGGACAAAACAATAAAATGGAAACTCATGTTTCCTAGACTTAACTGTTAATGTCACAGACTGGTTCAATACAGAGGAATGGTAGGAGGCACCAGCTGGGGACCCCCAAGGAATAAGGCTCAGAGCCAGGGGATTGGTGGTGGGACAATGATGAGTTGTCAGAGGGAGAAGACTGGGAGGACATTTCAGAAGCTGAAAACGTAACAGGGTTTAGTGAGCAGTGGGAATCTCTGGCAGACAAATCCAGAATCAAAGGCAGAAGCTGAAGCAAAAGAAGTGGGATGCCAAGAGGCAGGGATAAGTTCTGCTGCTGAAGAGGCACAGGCTCCTCCTGCTCTGATGAGCTCCCCTCTCCCCTCGGTCACCCAAAACCAGGAGAGTGATGAAGAGGACAGAGGAGAAGTTAGCTTCATGCAGGCACAGTCTCAGATTGCTTGGGAAAACCCTGGAGAAGAGGGGACCTTCAGTCTCAACAACTGCTTCATGGAGGCCAAACCTGCTGGAGAAGAGTTGCTGTCCTCATCAGACCGAATACTCCTGGGCAGATCCTGTTTTTGCTAATAAAGAGTTAACTCCAACTTGCTCAGTGTTAGCTTACATGCAGTTGCAATTAATACTTCTTAACTACTTGCAATTGCTTGACAATTTCAGAACATATTGTTAGGAAATAAAATACTTTAAAAAGTGCACAAAACTAATGGTTTTTCCACTGTGTAAGAATTGTAAAATGTTCTGTGTAATTTCTCCTAACTGGTCAGCTAAAGCTAATGTCCTGTGCACACTTGTCTGAGAGTAAGTCCCCTTTTGTGTTCAATGGATCTTCTTTCTGCATCTGACTAGACTGCTTGCCATGATTTGAAGAATCCATACATTTGGGAAGGTAAGATTTAGTACCCTTTTAACACGCTCTAAAGACTGTAAAGCAGGAAGTCAAGTTACAAAAATGGGACTTGACACACATGAAAATATGTTTCACTCCCTTCATTTCCTTGTGAAACCATTAATCCCTAAAGGAATTTCCTTTCTCCCCTGACCCAAGGAAGCAGGTACCCTTAACAAGAATTCCCCTTCTATTTACTGAATGTGCCCCACCTATCATGCTTGAAGCAGCGCATGGGTGCCGAGCAGAAACAACAACTGGGCTGAAGAAATTTGCTTGGAGCATCAATCAGATGCTGAAGCAGCTCTGAAGGTTTTGAAAAGCTTCCCTGAAGTGAAAGAAAATATTTAGAACAGGCCACTGTGCTGGAGGCCATCCCTGAGTGTTTTACACAGCAACATGCTGGCACAGCAGGAAATGCTGTCTTTAAAGCTATATTTATATACGTAGAAGTTAGTTTGCTGCTGCAGTCTGCTGATATAGGAATGTGATGTACACATTCTGGTCTACATGTATACAAATGCTGCATTCCCCCCCCCCCCATTTTAACTTGTGTTGGATTTTCAGCTGTGTATAACAAAGCCCTATGGTGCTGGAGGAGACTCTTGAGAGTCCCATGGACTGCAAGAAGATCAAACCTCTCCATTTTTAAGGAAATTAGCCCTGAGTGCTCACTGGAAGGACAGGTCGTGAAGCTGAGGCTCCAATACTTTGGCCACCTCATGAGAAGAGAAGACTCCCTGGAAAAGACCCTGATGTTGGGAAAGATTGAGGGCACAAGGAGAAGGGGACAACAGAGGACGAGATGGTTGGACAGTGTTCTCGAAGCTACAAACATGAGTCTGACCAAACTGTGGGAGGCAGTGGAAGACAGGAGTGCCTGGCATGCTCTGGTCCATGGGGTCACGAAGAGTCGGACACGACTAAACAACAACAATAACATAATAAAGCCCATCTAGTTCAGCTGAGTGGGAAGGGTGAAAATTTTGTACCCTCCCCCAGTTGTGTCCATGTCATGTGTCCCAAAATCTTGGACAGTGCTGCCAAAATATTACAAATGATACAGTAATATGCATTCTGATTTAAAATTTTAACTTTCCTGCCTATGGCTTTTAAAAATTGCTTTATTCAGTTTTACAAAAGTAAACACTGAAATTCTGCTAATATGTCAATAGACATTTAGAATTAAAAAATAAAAAATACAATCCCGTGCCACCACTGCACTGAGGGAGAATGTGTGTCTGCCGATGGCATTGACATTACAACAGTGCAATTCTATATCCAGGTCTACTCAGAAGTAAGGCTATAATGAAGAGACAGTTGTAACTGAAACTTTCTACACACTTAGGACATGTGTACGTTAGTGGCTTTAAAAGCCGTGAGATAATTCATCCCTTGCATTTCAAGTCCAGAGTTTTATATTGATATACTGTATGCAATATTACCTGATTTGTTTCCCCCCACCTGCAATGTCCCCGTTGAAAAAACTCCAATTCAATGGAGCTGTCATGTGGGTTGCATAATGAATAACTCCCTTAGGTTGTTTATTTGTATTATTTAAGTGATTCTTCCGTTGCTTTTCAGAACCACCGTCCTTTCAAAGCAGTTCGCAATACAAGATTAAAATAATATAAAATAAAATCTACTGGGATCTCCAAGTTTCAAATTCTTACAATTTTGGAAAAACAAGCCCTGACTAGAGATGGGTTTAGGGGAGTGCAACTGGTTTGGTCATGCTGGGAGCGCAGAGCCTTGGGGGCGATGCAGGGGATGCCACAACTATGATTTAGAATGGAGTGTGACAGGTTGGGGGGGGGGATTTTGGCATTACACAGAATGCCACTAATTTTTGAGACCCCAAGGTCCGCCACTACCCTGACCAAATTCCCAGTTGCCAATGTGCGGCTTCCTAGCAATTTCAATCAGCATTTGAAATGGCCTATATATGATCCATGTAAAGTCCATGCCTGAATATGGTGAGGAGACAGGTGAAGCTCAACCTTAGTAAATCTATTTACAATCTCCAAAACTGCTTCTCAGAGGAAATTAAACTGAACAGAAACTGCTCTTAAACATCTTATAATGTTCCCATTGCTGACTGTGTACATAGAGGGTATGGAACTTCTTTGACACAATTACAGGAATTATATGTGCATGTTTGTTGAATTGTCCTAGAATAGATTCCGTGAAATGTTAGAATATTCCACAGTTCAATATTA